CGTCAGAGCTGGTGGGCGGATGGTGTCCCGGTCATGTTTTGATGGCGTCCGGGTCATGTGATGCTGGTGTGCCGGTCATGTTTTGATGGTGTCCCGGTCATGTTTTGATTGTGACCCAGTCATGTTGTGATGGTGTCCCGGTCCTGTTTTGATGGTGTCCGGTCATGTTTTGATGGTGTCCCGCTCATGTTGTGATGGTGTCCCGGTCATGTTTTGAAGGTGTCCCGGTCATGTTGTGATGGTGTCCCGGTCATGTTGTGATGGTGTCCCGGGCATGTTTTGATGGTGTCCCGGTCGTGTTGTGACGGTGTCCCGGTCAGGTTTTGATGGTGCCCCGATCATGTGACGGTGGCGCGGTCATGTTGTGATGGTGTCCCGATCATGTTTTGATTGTGTCCCAGTCATGCCGCCGGTCATGTTTTGATGGTGTCCCGGTCATGTTGTGATGGTGTCCCGGTCATGTTTTGATGGTGTCCCGGTCGTGTTGTGACGGTGTCCCGGTCATGTTTTGATGGTGTCCCGATCATGTGATGGTGCCGCGGTCATGTTGTGATGGTGTCCCGATCATGTTTTGATTGTGTCCCAGTCATGTTGTGATGGTGTCCCGGTCCTGTTTTGACGGTGTCCCGGTCATGTTTTGATGGTGTCCCGCGGTCATGTTGTGATGGTGTCCCGGTCATGTTTTGATGGTGTCCCGATCATGTGATGTTGGCGCGGTCATGTTGTGATGGTGTCCCGATCATGTTTTGATTGTGTCCCAGTCATGTTGTGATGGTGTCCCGGTCCTGTTTTGATGGTGTCCCGGTCATGTTTTGATGGTGTCCCGGTCATGTTGTGATGGTGCCCCGGTCATGTTTTGATGGTGTCCCGGTCGTGTTGCGACGGTGTCCCGGTCATGTTTTGGCGGTGTGCCGGTTATGTTTTGATGGTGTCCGGGTCATGTGACGGTGTCCCGGTCACCTTGTGATGGTGTCCCGGTCCTGTTGTGATTGTGTCCCAATCATGTTGTGACGGTGTCCCAGTCATGTTGTGATGGTGTCTCGCTCATGTTGCGACGGTGTCCCGGTCATGTTTTGATGGTGTCCCGGTCATGTTGTGATGGTGTCCTGGTCATGTTTTGGCGGTGTGCCGGTTATGTTTTGATGGTGTCCGGGTCATGTGACGGTGTCCCGGTCATGTTGTGATAGTGTCCTGGTCATGTTGTGATGGTGTCCCCGTCATGTCATGCTGGTGTCCCGGTCACCTTGTGATGGTGTCCCGGCTATGTTGTGATGGTGTCCCCGTCATGTTGTGACGTTGTCTCGGTCATGTTTTGATGGTGCCCTGGTCATGTTGTGATAGTGTCCCGGTCATGTTGTGATGGTGTCCCTGTCATGTCATGGTGGTTCCCGGTCACCTTGTGATGGTGTCCCGGTTATGTTGTGATGGTGTCCCAATCATGTTGTGACGGTGTCTCGGTCATGTTTTGATGGTGCCCTGGTCATTTTGTGATGGTGTCCTGGTTATGTGATGATGGTGTCCAAGGAAGAGATGGTCGATGTGTTGAAAACAGCAGCTGTTTCCAGATTTTTCTTTTTGTCCCGGTTTGTATCTTGCTATTGGGGTCTCCAGCTGGGCTAATTGCGCGCAAGTGGGGCTCCCATGCTTACACCTAGGAATCAAGTTTCTTCTTCACAAAGGAAGGGCAGAGACCTCTGTTTCTTTTGTCCTTTGAACGAGGCTGGCAGCGCACTTGGGACTTCGGACACCTCATGGTGCCTCCATGGCAGTTGGTGAGCATCACCTCAGCTGGGATGAAGGGCAAGCGCTGGTCTTTGACGTTCCTGGGATGTCACGAAATGTTGACATCTTTAAGCGCATTAAGATTGTGAACATTTGAGCAACATGCACAACATGCTTTAACTTGACAAACTACCTGACCTGGCACTCCTAAGGATACCTACATCCACAGCGTGAACCATGAGGGACGCTTGGTTGGAGTTGGAAGAGTGTTTGGAGTTGTAGAGTGTGGATTGTAGTGGAAGGTGCGGGTGGAGAAAGCTCAAGTGTCAACCTCTGGCGCAGCAAGCGAGGTTTGCGCTGGGTTTTGCTGGAAGTGGGGTGAGAAGCCGCTCAGCAAGGCGCCATGCCACTGGCAAGGAAAGTGCCCACCCTCTCTGGTGGAAATGGCTTGGGTCGGAGTGGCCGCTTAAGAAGAGCTTCAAAGCCCATGTCATGACGTGAGTGTCGCCGCCAGCTGAACATGGCTGGAAAGAGGTAAAAGACTTAAAGCTTCCATCAGTCCAGCAAGAGTGAAGTTAACGCTCTGCTGGCGTCAGTTCCATCTTTAAGAAAACTCAACTGCGCTCACTTGGGGCTCTGGGTTTATTCAAAATCAAAGCTCCAATAAGCATGTCTGTAGGAATCGCTAAACATTCAGGAGTCCTTCGCAGGGGAGCCCTGCCAAACACTCCAATGCAGTGGCTACAAGTCCAAGTCGAAAAGAACTTGTCGCGCTTGTCTTGGTCTCCATCGCTCCTGGCTGCCTCTTCAATTGAGCTGCGAAGTTGATTTCGATCTTTCTTCGTTTCCCCAGAGACATCAGAGGCATCCTGCAGCTCATTGAAGCGCTCGATGAGATGCCCGCGGTCATTCACCGCGAACTCGCGTTCACGCAGTAAAGTTTCGCGTTCCATTCTCCAGTGCATCTCACAGTCGGTCTACCTGGAGTCGGTCGCCGAGAACAAGGGCTAAGAACTAGGTCCATACTAGAAACCACTGCCTGACTGCCCTTCATTTTAAATCTTGGTGAAGTGGGGTTAGAAGTTGCAAGTGCAGTTGAGTGGCGCCCATGAGAAACATAGCCTGCGTTGCTCGGCTGCCCTTCTTGATGGCAAACATCTCAGCGTTCCTCTTTCGAGCACGGGCCTCTTTCTTCTTGGCGGCCTGGAAGGTCCCATCGCCCACAATCCGAGTTGCGCGAGTGAGAAGTCAGTATGCTAGAAGCTGCGCCCAGTCTGTTTACGTGAGACGGTCTGCAAACTGCAACTCGCTGGCGTCTTCGAGTCACTGCTGGCTTGGGCAATGGTTGCTGTGGCATTCCTGGAAATGCATCTTTCATTCTGAAAGGGGCTCAGTCGCCTCTTGGGGTGGGTGACGGTTGTACATGTTGTTTCTAAGGAGGCTTGGGGTGTAGCCCACAGTCCAGGGCGCGCGCGGCCAAAGACGTTTGGCGTCCTGTTGACTTCGCGACGTAGTTCAAGGCCGTGATCCTGGCTTCCATCGAGAAGCGGTCAATGGCACGCCGCGCGTTTATGAGCTTGGCCTGGGCTGGCCCCCGGCTTGGTCAGCTCGCATGCCCACGCCTTCATCCTGTTGCTGCCCTAACTAGGGCGCTCGTTGACTTGGAGAACATTCGTACCGCCGACCGAAGTGGCGAAGCCAGCTCTGTCCAGGGCCATGATGACAGTTCTCAACGCTTTCGCGTGGCCTCTTCGAGGACTTCATGAAATTTGTTTCGCTCCTCACGAGCGGCTTCAAGCATTTCTTTCAACTCATTGAATCTGTCGATCGTACTGCAACGCTTCATGTTCACGTTGAAGCTCACTGCTCGTCATCTGGAGGTGGTTCACCTGTCTCATGCACTGGTCCAGTGCTGTCAGAAAACAAGTTGGTTGGCGCATGGCTTTGTTGATTTGTTAACGAGTCGACTTTAGTTATCGTATCGCCATCAGCCGGTAGAGCCCAGCATCGACGTTGTTCCCCTGCTTGTACAAGCTTCTCATTGTCGCGGTGTTCATGAGGAACTTTGTGTAAGTGGCTCTTGCGGCGAAGCCTGCTGATTGTCAGAGTGGCTTCTGACGTTACGCTGGAGTGTGCTTCGGTGTCAAAGGGTTTCAGCCTTGTCAGCTTGCGGGCGCAAAAAGCTTTTTCCATCAGGACGGTGTGGATGCCTGGGCGAGGTGGTCGCGCGTCATCGGGCGTCGATAGGTGCAGGTAGCGCTGGCTCGATTTCCGGCTCCGGCAGAGCTCCGCTCAAGACTTCAAAACAGGGGCAGTGGGCACCAGGATGAGTTGCCGCCAAAGGATTTCTTCACTGGTGTCCAATTCCCGTCGCGGAGTGCGTCGATCAAAACGAGGCTAGGAAAAGCGCGAGTTTCCTGTCCGCTGGCTTGGGCATTCCAGAACGGCGTGATGCTCGGCGTCGATCTGCTGATGAAAAGCCTTCTGCGTGAACTTCAAACGGGGCGCCCTCCCCTAGATTTCGATCAGCCTGAAGTCGTTCCTTTCGCCAAGGTTGCTATACCATTCAGGTATGTGAGAAGGTTTCTCGTTGCTTCCTTTTCCTTGCCAAGTATCGCCATCTTCTTGCCACGCAGCAAGATCCGAGCACGCAGTTCCTTGTAGTTCTCGGTGCTACTTGCCATTCTTGTTGCCCAGGATCAAAAAAAGGAGGGGAAGTGCAGGTAGTGGCGCCCGCAAAGATCTCAAGGGCTACCGATGTTGAGTTGACAATGGCAACGAAGTCTGTAGGGGGAAGTAGAGGTGGTTGTAGAGTGTGGGTTGTAGTGGACGGTGACGGGTGAAAATGCTCGGTGTCAAACTCGGGGCTCAGTTCATTGGCAAAGAAAGTGCTAACCTTCTCCGGTGGAAATGGACGGGGCTGGAGTGGCCACATAACAAAAGATCCGCAACTCTGTGAGGGGTGTCATTGTGGAGTCTGACGGCAATGTCATTCCATGAAGAAACGCGCTGGCCCAGACTGTTGCCGCGCTCCCAGGAACCGACGACCGGTATTTGCTGGTCACCTGGTTTTGCCATCCCTGCGATACGTTGCATGCAGAAGTGCCGCCGGAAGATCCAGAGCACTTCTGCCCGTTTTGACAAAAATCGAAGTGGTCCGCGAACGTTCGCATCCGGTTTTCGTTGGTTGTGTTTTCCACATCCAATATGCGATTTTGCTGACCCAGTCACTTCCACATGATCCAAAGCCTTTCCCTTTGATTCAGATGAACCCAAAGGACCGACCAATCCTCACATCTGCAGTGCAGCAAAGACCTGAGGCGTTTGGAGCTGTCAGGTTTTAGACCCCTTGCACTTTTTGAAACACAGGCATTCATTGAGTTCTATTGAATTCTCAGTTTGGTTAGGATTGAACAATTTATGAAAAATCATGTTCTTGGCTTCACTGGATCCAAGTTTTTGGTGGCACTTCCAACTTTCTCATGCGACATGCGCAGGTTTTTTGTTTGATCGTTACCGGTTTCCAGGGTCGGTGATTGAAAGTGAACACTGTCACATGTGGAAACATTGTTCTCGGGTGGGGTGGTGGCCCCCTCAAGGCGCAGATGGCAGGCAGGCTTGGAATTATCCAAAGAGATGTAGGCTGAAACAATGCCGTCAAAAAATTCACTCTTTGACACCGCTTGCTTGCGTCTTTTGTTCTTATGAAAGCGTTGGAAAGTTGCGCCGCAGTTGCATTAATTGCAGCCTCACGCAGATGTGCGGGGTAGTTGCTGACTCGGAGAACACTCTTGTGCCAATGCAAGGCTCCGTCACTGGCGGGACACCACAGCAGGCGCTAGCCACTTTGCATTTTTATAGAAGGTCGAACACCTCCTAAAACACAGCAACGCTTGACATAAAATACTTGGAATAGGCGGTTTGTACTGATTTACTTGAACTTGCTGTTCTTCCACCGCTCAAGATTGCTGGACAATCCGATGGCACCTTTCGGCTTGTGTACTTGTCAAAGTTCATGGAGGAGACCATAGTGAAACTGTCCACGTTCTTTTTCCTGCCAGGTTTACGACTTGCATAGTCATTTGGAGCATCCGTTAGCTCAAGGACTGATGCTGGGAGGGAAGAGGATGCATTAAATTGACCGACGCCAAGCTTATGATTCTTTGGGGCGCAGCCTCTCAACAAGCTGGGGAAAACATGGAGAATTCAAGCGGTTCTAAGAGGACAGGAGGGAGTCTCACGCAACACGCTTCGGCATGTGGTGACCTGTGCCTCTTCCAGTGGTTCAATTGCTTCAACCGCATGATGTCGTTATTCGATGTTGCTTGCAAGTGCAGTTGTGAAGGTTCCTGGCAACAGGTCCGAGGCTCAGCTGTTGCATAGCTCACTCCAGACTCAAACAAAACAAAGACGTGTTCACTCTTGTTAATTTTGCTCCAAACTGCTGTTACTTTTGCCAATTCTCCGCTCTCAGGAGCTGCCAGAGTGTGCTTTGGGACCACACAGCCTGAGGCGCCTTGCATCAACATTGTGGTACTGCTAGCAAAGCTTTCCAATTAATTGTGAAAGCATCCATCCAATAGAAGCCAAACTGGTTCCATTCAAGTGACTTGGCATACGACAAGGGAACGTGCCCGCTGCATTCTAAGGCATACAATTTCCTACTCCAATTTGAATGGCCAGGAACAAATTCAAGAGACAGAAGTACGCAATCTCAATTGACTGATAAGAGACACGAACAAAAGAGAATTGAGACATGCACTGTGTGGATCTTGAGGTGACCTGCTCTGGAGATGACTGCGAAACAACCACAAGTAATGCCATTGTCTGAAGTGTCTACTTACAGTTAAGTTGATATCTTTGTTGTTCCAAATGTGTTCCCATTTTGACTTCTTGGTGCACCTTTTCATCCCTTTTCCGTTCAAGGTTTTGCCTCAGATCATTCGGGTGCGAGAGCCGAAGGTTGTGGGCTCAATGCAGACAGATTTTCCAAGCCAATTCACAGTCACATTGCTTTCATGCTCAGGCAAAGCGGATGTGCTCAGGAGTGCAAAACACAGCCTTAAGCTTTCAGTTCACATTTTTCTGTTCAGGCTCTCCGGGCCTCATTTGGGATGGCTTGGACACTGTCGTGCAGCGTGGCTTATGTAACTATATAACCTCTCCACAGCAAGACCGGGTTAACGCTGCCAGTAGGGGGTGGCAGATGCGGATCAGATTATATATCTAAAAACAATAGTTGCTATTTTTTGTAGGTTAGTGATGCAGAAGATGCAAGCCAAGCTTGCTGCAGCATCGCTTGCATCAGCAAAGTGTATTTGTGTCACTGGAGTTCATTCCAGAGGCAGATATTGAGAACAACTAGAATTCTAGCCGCTAGCCAACGAATCGAAATATTCATGGCAGCGGAGATGTGCCATTGGAAGACCTACATTCCAAGCTCAATCCAACTTGGCAGAAAGTGTGGGTTCTTCTATCGAGGCGACCACAATGCAACGACGGCGTGTGGCGCCCACCAAAATGCTTGGCCTTGTTTGGAAGTAGGGAATAAGAAAGGTTCGGGCAACATGAAGCAATTGGCCGAATCGTTTCGATCGGCGCCGTGAAAGGTCGACCTCACACGTAGTGATCGGGGAAAGCTCTAGCTCACAGGCAGTGGACAGCCTGCTTTTCTTGGGCAATCCTTTGTCTAAAGCCTAGAAGCTGTTACTGACAGGAATTCCAAACGCTTTAGACTGGGGACTACTGTCAGGTGGCAAGGGTTTGTGGTCCCAGAAGTTCTCCAAATCTATATTCTAGTAAGAACAATTGTGCCTCGCCGGCCTCGATCCTGGCTGCTGTTTAGGCGTTCTTTGCACTTTCTCCCTATTCAATTGAAACCGCAACTCCTTTAACCAGCAAAACATGGTTAGGGGGACCCACATGCAAGCTACATTGTTGGCAATTTCCCCATGCTCAAAAGAAAGGTAACTTACCTTCTCCCCCCCAACGTTGTGCGGGGCATACTCCCGGCGGGTGGGGGGTTAGGCTAAAATATAGGAATATGTAATTTGATTCCTGAGGCGTTCCATTTTACATTTTGTGATGCCCCTGAGTATCGGATATTTGATGAAGGAGGGGGGTAACACATGTAACTGTCCTTCTTCCTAGTTGACATATGGCTCTTGAGGTTCTCTTTCTTCGTACCTTTCTTTGTTTATTCCCCACCTGTCAGGTGAGGGTTGTTAGATTTTATGTCAGCCCCATCTCCTTCTCCTCCTCCGCGTCCTCCTTCTCCTCCTCGTCCTCTCCGCCGGACCTCAACCAGGACCATCCACGCCCAGTGTTCGCTGCTGGACCTCAACCACGACCATCCACGCCCAGTGTTCCCTGCCGGACCTCAACCACGACCATCCACGCCCAGTGTTCCCTCCCGGACCTCAACTGCGACCATCACGCCCAGTGTTCCCACACAATCACAAACGCAACCACAAACGCAACCACAAACGCACAACCACAACCACAATCACAAAAGCACGCAATGACAAGCACACAGCCACAAACACAACCACAGCCACAACGACAAAGACGCAGCCACAAGCGCAACCACAAAAACAATCACAAGCGCAACCACAAACACACAACCACCAGCGCAATCACAAACACACAACCACAAACACACAACCGCAAACACAATCACAAACACGCAACCCCAAACACAATCACAAACACACTACAAACACAATCACGAGCACGCAACCACAAACACACAACCACCAACGCAATCACAAACACGCAAGCGCACACACACAACCACAAACACAGTCACAAGGACAATCACAAACGCAACCACAAACACACAACCACAAACACAGTCACAAACACAGCCACAAACACACAACCACAAACGCGCAATCACAAACGCGCAATCACAAACACACAGCCACAAACACAACCACAAACACCATCGCAAACACACAACCACAAACACAACCACAGCCACAATCACAAAAACACGCAATGACAAGCACACAACCACAAACACAACCACAGCCACAACGACAAAGACGCAACCACAAGCACAACCACAAACACAATCACAAACGCAACCACAAACACACAACCACAAACACAATCACAAACACACAACCACAAGCACGTAATCACAAGCACACAACCACAAACACAACCACAACACACAACCACAGCACACAATCACAACACAATCACAGCACACAACCACAACGCGCAACCGGAGGATCTGAGTTGTATAACTGTATAGCTAGTTGGGCACAGGTCTCCTGATGAAAGCATTCGCTTCGGACAAACCAGTAAGACTTGGCGCTGAAGGACTTGTGCTATGGGCTGAAATACACGACGAGGGTGATGTCAACGTGGCTGTTTTGAAATGTCATGGTGGGGATCACTCGAAGTAAAGTAATTCAATTTTTTCCTCTACAGCTTTCTTTTTGTTCTTTCTTCCTCTCCTTCTTCATTTCTTCCTAGCTTGACCGTAGGGGGCCATGAAGCTTTATTGACTGCTTTCCCAGCAGTTTAGCTATTTGGTTCCATATTTTCCATGAGTTTTCCAGGTGCATACCGCTGTTTTAGAGGTCTCCACCAGTCTAGCTGATATTTTGTTGCGAGGTACTTTCCTTTCATGATCTCATTTGTTCGTTCTTTTCTGTTGTGTTCTTTGTTTTTTCCTTTCTTTCCGTCCATCCATCCGTCCGTTCCGTCCGCTCCGTCCGTTCCGTCCGTTCCTTCCGTTCCTTCCTTTTTTCCAGTTGACCGCAGGGGGCATGCAAGGACGCTGTATTGACGGTGTTTTTCAAGTATATCAGTGTATATCTTATTTATTTAGTTTTCACTTTATTTTCTAGGCGCATAGACTACTGTTTTAAAATTAACTTAAGTTTCTGGAGGCTTCTCTTTCTTCATTCTTTTCTTTGTTTTTCCTTTCTCCTTAAACCTTTATTCCTTTCGTGCTTCCTTTGTTTCCTTTTGTTTCATTTAGGTTTTGCGTTTTTTTGTTCCTTGTGTCGTCTTTATTCCTTTCTTCCTAGTTACCATTTGACCGCATGAGTCACACATGGACGCTGTATGGGCTGTTGTTCCTGTATACATTATGTACCTTGAGCTACCTAGTTTCCATATGTTTCTTCTGGAGTTCTTGATGCATACCACTGTCTTGGAGACCTCCAAAATTCTAGCTTGCGCGTTAGAGAGCCAACGGCTTTTGGCATTTTCGAAACGCGACAAAACATGAGAAAACCATGCAAATCGCACACTCATTTCTAGAGTCACGATCAGGATTTCTAGAGCTCCAAAGCCACGCCGATCACCACCACGCGATCATTCCCTTCTCTTCAGCTAGTTTCATCACAGTCGAGGCATCTCTACATTAGTGGGCAGGGGTCCCAAACCGGGTAACTTGACACTGTAACTTGCCCTAAGTTGACGCTGTGGCATCAATCATCGCAAACAAAACCTCAAGCATCTAACGTTACATGTTCAGAAAGTGGGCTGGCTGACAACTTGGAAAACGTAGGTTAGCCAAATTTGCCAGAACGTGGTATTTCCTATGAACTTCAAAAGAACAATGTAATCTAGGAGTAGAACATGTGACATTACATTTTTGACATCGAGTAAAAACATGCAATATTACATGGTCCATCCTTCGAAACTAGAAGTTGTAAGTTGCAATTAGGGTTCTCCTCCGTCACTATACTGTGCCTTAAATAAAGTTGGGCAGCATCCAAGGCACAGAGTCACCAACTCAGCAGGGCACCAAGACGAGATGAAAGGGAATGCATGGAAGAGTTCTTTCAGGGCTCTCGATTAGAGTCAACGAGTCAACAGCACTTGAATGCTTGAAGGCCAGACGAGTTCTGGGCTATGCACCAGTGGAGACGGAGAAGACACCGCATGAGCAAGATGCTCAGATTCTACGAATGATCTTCTTGTGAGCAGTGTTGCAAGCTGTTTCACCGACATGTAACCTGAGTTTGTTGTTTTGGGCTAAAGTGGCTAAAGTGCATTATTAAAGACAATTCGCACAAAGCCCCAAAACAGTCTCAAGTTCTTTAGCTGCTTTGCAGCCTGCACATCCAGGAATCTTCAGCCACTTGCTTTGAGAAGTGAAGGCGCAAGTTGAGAACACTCAGTTGCTCTGAAGCGATATCATACCCACACCAAATCTCTTTTGGCTTGATTTCCCTAAACTCTAGGAACTTTTTCGATCACGACTACTAGCAGCTTCTCTTACCAATTGCTGGCTTCTCACACCTTCTTCAGGGCCTACTCCGACTCCCCTGAGAAAAACGTGTTTGTTAGGAGTGATGAAGATGTACACTTATTCCAACAACAATGGTCAAGAGGAGCTCGGGCCTTGAAGATCAGATGCACACAATGATCGACGAACGGGTCTGGCTGAGGATGAAGGAGGTGCAATCCCACTGTAAGGATGGCACCTGCGTCCAAAGGCCTGAGATGTTCTCTGAACACGCAAAATGTGTTTTCCATGTTCTCTGATTTTGAGCTCTGCCCTTTTGAGGAGCCGCATCTTTGCACCAAGTTCAGTGAAGGAGCACCTACAGCATGACGCCAAGGCGCTTGGTGAATGCTCTCCTCATTATAGTAGCGTCCTCGCTACTAGTAGTAATTAATGCCCTTTGTTACCAGTAGCTTCTTGTTCCTAGTAGTAATGCCAGGAGCTACTAGTAGTGCCCTTGCTACTATTTTCGCTGCGTTGCTGTGACTCCATTATGCTTGCTAGGAGATTCGCCCACAAGCAGCGCAGGCTTACCAAGCCTAGCAAAGGTCCTGTCGGAGAGGCGTGGACATTTCTGAGAGAAAGTGGTTTTTGCTCGGACCCTTTAGCCAACACCTTTCCACATCACAATGACCAAACGTGTGAGACATGTTTTTCATTCACAAATAACCACAGCAAACCCGAATATCTCCACCCACAAAATGAGACAAGGTGAGATTCAGGTTGGTTGGTACTTATACTTAGGAAACAGAACTTAAACGAGGCATTCTCAGTGCAGCTATGTGCGGTGAGTAGACCCCGGTGAGTTGCAAGACTCGACTAGTCACCTTCACCTGACTCACCGTGACGCACCCTTACCTCACTTTTAACCTTTTTTTGGAGCCCATGGCCCTGCCCCCTTACTAAAGTATATAGGCGCCTATTCAGTACGGGACAAACTTGTTTGCTCCTCGCTACTAGTTAGCTTCTAGGACGCAGGATAGCGCTCGCACTAATCATTTGGTTCCTAGACTTTAGGGAAACTTAATACAAACAGGCACAGCTGAGAATTGAGTTTGGTTATCCTCCCACTTGTAACAGTCTTGTCGCTTCACTGATGCAGCCCGTGACAACCACCATATTTACAGGTAAATTACTATACTGTAATTGTCGTGGCTTGCTTGCTTCACATTTCTAACACCACCGGCGGCCAGCGTCATCAAAGTCACATGTTGGCGTCGCGACGCCTCATCTCAGTCCTTTTTGCCCCGTTTTGTGTGAATCTTTCCTCACAAATAGTACTATCACTTTGCGCATTTGGCTTCATCTTCGTTTGAGCAACCACCAAAACAGTGAAACCGCAAGTCCAGAGCGGTCGTGAGATACACACATAGAAGGTTTGCTGAAATCTGGAAAAGCGATATAAACCCTCTCCAAAAATGTCAACATATGTTGTTTGCATGTTCAGGTGTGTTGAAGTGTGCTAAACAAAACCTCTTTTCCCCAGCGGTTTTGACAGACGCTCGTTTGAACTATGTATATACTGTGGATTTCCTTATCCAAATCACCTAAACAACCTTGTCTAAACCCTGCTGAACAACCCTGTCACTGCCACTGTTTTGTCCGGTCTCAAGCCCCTCGACCCTCCCACCACATGGCTGCGGAAGTGAGCGAACCGTCTCGCTCGATCAGGCACCTTCGAAAAAACATGGTATGGTATGGTATGTAATGCAATGTAATATGATATGTAATGTAATGTAATGTAGAGAAAACCAGCATGGCTGAAGTAACAAATAGCAGCATATAACCTTTTGGGGTTGGTAGGGTGGGAATTGAAATGGTGTACCATTTTGGCTCAAGATGAGCCGGGGTTCCCATCGTTATGTGGGGGATCTAGGTCTAGGAACCCAGCCATGATAGGTCTCTTACCAGACCGGACGGTACTCGACGGTTGGAGCACCATCCAAGACGCAGCTGGTTGGGGAGGATTAGAGTTGGGCTTGGTGAGGTGCGTGACGTGCGGGCTGGGAGATCAGAACCCATCATCCCTACAAATTTTAGCAGTCACTCCAACTGAGATCTTTGAGCAGGCGCTCACCAACGCCAAGAGAGGCACCAGGGCTTTGTCTGAAACAGAAAGGGCACAGTGGTCACGTGGCTCTTCGCGCGGGCTCATCAACACTCTCACCACAGGTGCAAAGTTGAAGATTAAGATGAGTCAGATCATTGATCAGGGCTGTGACTTTGAGGTTGAGCTCCTCCAGGCCGTTGATTTACAGAGGATGCGTGCCAGACTTGTGAGTATTCAAGGTGACAACCACTCGAGAAAGAAGAGGTCACAGATGCCCAGTTAAGTTGCTTGTGCTATAAGGTACAGAATGGCCAGGCATCCTTTCTTGACATGGCTGTATGGGGACCCCATGGTGTGAAGCTCGCAAGAGCCATGAAGTTCACCCGCCAGCAGTGGAGGGACGGTCAATGGAAGGCCGTAGATCTGCCCGGAGCGATGAGCTTAGACGCCTGGGAAGAAGCTTGGAGGATCTTCAGGACAGCGTGTTTGATTCCAGGTGGCCACGGCAGCAACTGTGCTCCAGCGTCCGGATGGTTGGCACCTGGCCGCCCAGGCTGATATCAGATGCTGTGCAGAGTTCTGCGCGCAAGAACGAAGACGAGGCATGCTACACACCCTGCACTGTCAGCCTATGTCCTGATCAACCCTGAAGCTCAGTCATCAGAGCGAGTGCGAGCAACACAGAGTTCTGGCAGAAGGAATTTGAGCGCCCAGCAATGCTGTACACCATGCGTTCGGTCCCAGCCAGGCCATCTCCACCCTCGGCTGCAGTAGAAGGGCCGTTGTTGAAGCCCATTCAGACCCCAAAGAAGAAAACTGGTGGGGCTGTGTTCCACAAAGGAAAGACGTTCGCTACTTCAGAAGCAAAGCTGGAGTGAACATTTGTTACGCGTGGGCCAGGGATGCAGATGGATGCAGCAATGACAAGTGCGACAAAGGGGTTTCCGCATGTTTGTGAACGGTGCAGGCAGTCGCGCAAGACCAAGGTGGTGACAGCAGCGTATGTGAAGGTCAGGCTCCCCTGTATATTGGCTTCAGGTGAGGTTTCGAACGGAATGGACAGGCTTGACCAACTGAGGGCATCGCTGAAGAGGAGGGCTGAACAGGGAGAATTTGATGCGCGCAATGCGCAGAGGGTCACGGCAAGAAGACGTGACAAGTATGCAAAGGCCAGGAGGCTAAGACTAAGATCTGCAGACAAGCCGGATGGGCTTGAAACGAGGGCAGCCAAGGTGAAGGAAGCAAACTTTCTGGCGTCGCGCGCGGCCCAGTTGTGCTTGTTGCAATGGAAGACTGGTGGATGGTTTTCTACGGAAAATCCTGAAGGTTCACTCATCTGGCTGCGCAAGCCGGCCAGGAGATGGTTGCAGCTGGACGGAGTGCAGTGTTACGAAGGTGACCAATGTTGTTTTACGGGGGAGCTTTTAAACCCACAGGCTGGTTGAGCAACGCACCATTCTTTGCAACGTTGCGCAGACGTTGCCGAGCCGAGGGTTGCCGGAACATAGACATTTGCCGCCGCTTGTTGGGTTTACAACAGATTTCCATGGCAGCAGAGATTGAGCTTGCAAGGTCGTACAAGCATGCGTTGTCGACGGAAGGTGGCGACAATCCAAGCAGTTAAAGTTAGGAGATGACAAGCCAACGGGGGTGTTGTTTTCAGCGAAAGGAGACATTGAGAAGGAGAACGGCCACTACGTTGGAGGTCTTCGGAATCCTTGTGGCAGGTCATGACGAAAGCGCCCGGCTGGACAGCTGCTGGACGTATGGCCTTGAGGACACTACAGGCGAGCGCGCCACAAGTTGAGAAGTTGTCACACCTTGCAGAGAAGGTCGGAGTAGACAAGAGGTTTGACAGTTGGCGCAATTGGGCTGGCTGAGGAGCAGCCTAGCCACGGTGTTCGATTGTGCGCAACATAAGCATTGTCACGCAAATAGGTGAAGCTGCCGGGCGACCCAGACGCTGAAGAAGCAACCTGGCCCGGCCCTCGTCCATTGATTTCTATCGGGCACCGCCTACAAGACTGTGTTGTTGAGAATTTGCACCGGGCCTGGGGTCTGGGGCAGGACGGCGGCGTTGATTTCAAGATCCGCTCAGGATACGTGCAGTTGCGTCCTCATGCGGTGGCTTGCGTTGGGGTTGAAGATTGCTTGGCGCAAAGGTGCAAAGGAACCATTGGTTGTGAGGTGGAGTGGGTTGGAGCAAAGTTGCAAATAAACAACACATCATTGACAGTGACCGTGTCCATCGCTGCAGCAAGGCGCTCGGCGCTGGAGAACCAGGCAGCGGCGTACCACAAACAAGCCGAGCCGGCGTTGACTTGGACTGGACTTCATCGTGGACGCCTCCCGTAGGGGGAGGAGCAGTGAAGCTGAAAGGGGCGCGGCCAGTCGAGGCCTTTTCTTTGGTGTGGATTGAAGATGAGAAGCGGTTGGGAGCGAAAATCGGTGATCCAGCATCACAAGCCTTATGGGAATCCTGCGTGATGCTAAGGTGTCTATGGGTGTGGGCGTTGCCACACGAGCAGGGCTACATCCGCGCGCGAGGAGACGCCCACGGAGTGTTGGCGGCCTTCGCGAAGAGGTCAGCAGCGTCACCGTCAGCGTGACAAAAGATGCAGGCGTGCGCCTGGCGTATCATCACGCCTCCCCCGAGGCACTCCGGCTCCATGTATGGAGCAAGGATAACAAGTGGGTAGATGCCCTCGCCAGCCTAGGCAGCAGACGCCGTCCGAGCTCGCCCACTTGCCGACGGTGCAAGAAGTGCCCGCGTACTGGCATGAAGCCTGAGCAAAAAGGAGTGAGGGAGGCCATGCCTCACACGGAGCGCAATCCAGGTCTGCGCGCGAAACCGATCCGCATGGAGGCATCAACCCGGTTTCACGTCAAGAGCGCCGACAAAAAGTCTCTGTCATCAAGGCGATCTGCCATCCCATTCAGCTTGTCATGGCGCCCACATTTGCCCTTGAGGAAGAGCTGATGGCTTTGCCAGTGAACGGGAGGAAGATGGAGGCTGGAGTTTTGCGAAAAGAAAAAAGGACGAGGAAGAAGAGCTGACCAAGAGGCGGCAGAGTCCCCATTGAAGCTCCCAAAAGTATACCGTGAAGGAACTGTTATGAGCCACTTTTTGAAGAAGAGATTTCAGCTCAGCCTCAAAGGAGCTGGAGAGCCTGCCAGAAGAGGCTAAGGCAGTGGTCGGCCCAAAGAGCACTGATGCAGGCAGCCAAGGAGTGAGGCCACGAGGATCCTTTCCTTGTCGCTGACAAAAAAGGGAGCAACCCCCCACGAAAGCAGGCGCGGTGGCAACGTTTCGGAGGGCGACCCTGGGACCCTGGCCATGGGCTACGGGGAAGGCCATACTCATCACGGGCGAAGTCGTTGAGAGGTCAGCGCAGGCCTTGAAGGTGTCCGATGAGGACGAGAAGCAAGAGGAAGTTGGAGAAGACCATCTTTGGGGCTTTGGAGACTCGGGGCAAGGGGCCTTACAAGGCGC